TAGGAGTACAGAACAGCTGCCATATTAATCTGAGGAGAGATTAATAAGACTGGGACTTTTCAGCTTGGAAAAGAGTCGACTAAGGGGGGATATGATCAAAGTCTATAAAATCAGGACTCGTGTGGAGAAGGCAAATGCAAAGGATGGGCTCCACCTAAACCAAAGTGGAACCAGACTGCTGGTACTTAACATTAAAAAGGTTGCAGAGCAGTTTTTAAACTAAAAGATGGGGGAAAGCTGATTGCTGCAGTGGAGCATGTGGATCGGACAGAGACTTCTCTTAGAGGAGAGTCTATTGATAGAGATTCTCTAGGTTTTAGTCAAGAGGAGAGGATGGAAGAGACTATAGTATGGGCCAGATCAGACGAGAAACAGTCACATAAAAAAAGAATATGACACATCAGAAAAGGGCAGACAAATAAACAGTGACAAGTTTTTAAAGTGCTTGTATACAAATTCTAGAAGTCTAAATAATAAAATGGGTGAACTAGAGTGTCTTGTGTTAAAGGAGGATGTTGATATAAGAGGCATCACACCTGGTGGAGCGGGAACAATCAATGGGACACAATCATTCCGGGGTACAAAATATATCGGAAGGACAGAACAGGTCGGGAGGTGAGGGGGCGGCGCGGAGTGGCACTATATGTGAAAGAAAATGTAGAATCAAATGAAGTAAAAATCTTAAATGAATCCATATGTTCCGTAGAATCTCTATGAATAGTAAATTCCATCCTTTAATAAAAATATAACAGAAGGGATCTATTATCGACCACCTGACCAGGACCGTGATAGGACGATGAAATGTTAAGGGAGATTAGAGAGGCTATCAAAATAAAGAACTCAATAATAGTGGGGGATTTCAATTATCCCCATATTGACTGGGTACATGTCACCTTAGGACAAAATGCAGAGATGAAATTTCTCGATACTTTAAATGACTCCTTCTTGGAGCAGCTGGTACAGGAACCCACAAGGGGAGAGACAATTCTCGATTTAGTCCTGAGTGGAGCACAGGATCTGGTCCAAGAGGTAACTATAACAGGATCGCTTGGAAATAGTGACCATAATATAATAACATTTAACATTCCTGTGGTGGGAAGAACACCTCAACAGCCCAACACTGGCATTTAATTTCAGAAAGGGGAACTATGCAAAAAATGAGGAGGTTAGTTAAACAGAAATTAAAAGGTACAGTGACTAAAGTGAAATCCCTGCAAGCTGCATGAACACTTTTTAAAGACACCATAATAGAGGCCCAACTTAAATGTATACCCCAAATTAAAAAACACAGTAAAAGAAATAAAAAATAGTCACTGTGGCTTAACAACCATGTAAAAGAAGCAGTGAGAGATAAAAGGCATCTTTTAAAAAGTGGAAGTCAAATCTGGTGAGGTAAATAGAAAGGAGCATAAACACTGCCAAATTAAGTGTAAAAATGTAATAAGAATAGCCAAAAAGGAGTCTGAAGAACAGCTAGCCAAAACCTCAAAAAACATTTTGTTATTACCTTTTAAGTACATCAGAAGCAGGAAGCCTGCTAAACAGCCAGTGAGGCCCCTGGACGATCGAGATACAAAAGGAGCACTTAAAGACAATAAAGTCATTGCGGAGAAACTAAATTAAATCTTTGCTTCAGTCTTCATGGCTGAGGATGTTAGGGAGATTCCCAAACCTGAACCGTCCTCTATAGGTGACAAATCTGAGGACTTGTCACAGATTGAAGTGTCACTAGAGGAGGTTTTGGAATTAATCGATAAACTTAACAGTAACAAGTCACCGGGACCAGATGGCATTCACCCAAGAGTTCTGAAAGAACTCAAATGTGAAATTGCAGAACTATTAACTATGGTTTGTAACCTGTCCTTTAAATCAGCTTCTGTACCCAATGACTGGAAGATAGCTAATGTAACACCAATATTTAAAAAGGGCTCTAGAGGTGATCTTGGCAATTACAGACCGGTAAGTCTAACGTCAGTATCTGGCAAATTATTTGAAACCATAGTAAAGAGTAAAATTGTCAGACACAAAGAAGAACATAAATTGTTGGGAAAAAGTCAACATGGTTTCTGTAAAGGGAAATCATGTCTTAGTAATCTATTAGAATTCTTTGAAGGGGTCAACAAACATGTGGACAAGGGGGATCCAGTGGACATAGAGTACTTAGATTTCCAGAAAGCCTTTGACAAGGTCCCTCACCAAAGGCTCTTACGTAAATTAAGTTGTCATGGGATAAGAGGGAAAATCCTTTCATGGATTGAGAACTGGTTAAAAGACAGGGAACAAAGGATAGGAATAAGTAGTAAATTTTCAGAATGGAGAGGGGTAACTAGTGGTGTTCCCCCAAGGGTCAGTCCTAGGACCAATCCTATTCAACTTATTCATAAATGATCTGGAGAAAGGGGTAAACAGTGAGGTGGTAAAGTTTGCAGACGATACTAAACTGCTCAAGATAGTTAAGACCAAAGCAGACTGTGAAGAATTTCAAAAATCTCACAAAACTAAGTGATTGGGCAACAAAATGTCAAATGAAATTTAATGTGGATAAATGTAAAGTAATGCACATTGGGAAAAATAACCCCTACGATACATACAATATGATGGGGGCTAATTTAGCTACAACTAATCAGGAAAGAGATCTTGGATAGTTCTCTGAAGACATCCACGCAGTGTGCAACGGCAGTCAAAAAAGCAAACAGGATGTTAGGAATCATTAAAAAGGGGATAGGAATAAGACGGAGACTATCTTATTGCCCTTATATAAATTCATGGTATGCCCACATCTTGAATACTGCGTAGAGATGTGGTCTCATCTCAAAAAAGATATACTGGCATTAGAAAAGGTTCAGAGAAAGGGCAACTAAAATGATTAGGGGTTTGGAACTAGTCCCATATGTGGAGAGATTAAAGAGGCTAGGACTTTTCGGCTTGGAAAAGAGGAGACTAAGGGGGGATATGATACAGGTATATAAAATCATGAATGGTGTGGAGAAAGTGAATTAGGAAAAGTTATTTACTTGTTCCCATAATATAAGAACTAGGGGCCACCAAATGAAATTAATGGGCAGCAGGTTTAAAACAAATAAAAGGAAGTTCTTCTTCACACAGCACACAGTCAACCTGTGGAATTCCTTGCTTGAGGAGGTTGTGAAGGCTAGGACTATAACAGGGTTTAAAAGAGAACTAGATAAATTCATGGAGGTTAAGTCCATTAATGGCTATTAGCCAGGATCGGTAAGGAATGGTGTCCCTAGCCTCTGTCAGAGGGTGGAGATGGATGGCAGGAGAGAGATCACTTGATCATTACCTGTTAGGTTCACTCCCTCTGGGGTACCTAGCATTGGCCACTGGCGGTAGACAGGATACTGGGCTGGATGGACCTTTGGTCTGACCCAGTATGGCCATTCTTATGTTCTTAAATAAGGAAGTGTTATTTACTCCTTCTCATAACACAAGAACTAAGGGTCATCAAATGAAATTAAAAGGCAGAAGGTTTAAAACAAACAAAAGGAAGTATTTTTTCACACAATGCACAGTCAACCTGTGGAACTCTTTGCCAGAGAACATTGTGAAGGCCAAGACTATAATAAGGTTAAAAAAAAAAAACCTAGATAAATTCATGGACGATAGGTCCATCATTGATGGATCGTGTTTGCCAGAAGCTGGGAATGGGTGACAGGGGATGGATCACTTGATGATTCCCTCTTCTGTTCATTCCCTATGGGGCACCTGGCACTGGCCACTGTTGGAAGACAGGATACAGGGCTAGATGGACCTTTGGTCTGTCCCAGTATGGCTGTTCTTATGTACAGTACAAAAGAAAGTAGTTTATTGATTTTCCTTCAATTGGCCTCAGCCTTGCACCTTCCTGACTTCTGTCTGTCATTTAATAAAATATGATGTCAAATAATTTAAAAACAACAAAAGGAAAATATATCCCTTCTTTAAATACTTTCACAAGAAAAGGAACTATATTAATTCCAGCTCATCAAGGCAGGACCTCTCTTTATATATTTTCTCTAGTTTTTCTGATGTCACTTTCATGGCTGACACATAACAGATTACAGAGAAGGCTGAGATGTGTGTCTTGACTTCCTTTCCCCTCACACCACGATTCTCTCTCCCATTCAAAAATATCCTGAATTTTAATTCACTTTAAATGAATTCTGAAAATAGTGGTGTTGTTTTTCATGTGTGTGTATGTGTGCACAGAGTTACTCAAAGATTTGGTCCCACCTGTCTATATTTCTTTTAGCGTATATGATGCCATTTCACTGACTGTGACTGCTGAAGCCAAGGCTGCACCAAGAGTCAGGAAATGAGTGAGAGAGACCTGAAGGCCTCTGCCATCTCCCAACAGCCCAAGTCTCAGGGCTTGTCTTCCTCACTAAATCGGCGCTGCTGCGATTGATACAGCAGCATCAATTTAGCAGGTCTGGTGAAGATGTGGTAAATCAATGGGAGAGCGCTCTCCCATCAACATAATTAATCCATCTCAACGAGTGGCAGAAGCTATGTCAACAGGAAAGCGTCACCCTCTGACATAGCACTGTATAGACACTGCATTAAGTCGATGTAAGTTATGTTGATGGGGGGCGGGGCGGTTACACCCCAGAGTGACATAAGTTATGTTGACTTAAGCTGTAGTGTAGAAAAGGCCTCAGGCTTGTAGGCACAGGATAAGCAGCACTGGTGCAGCCCGCGGCACCTGCAGCACCCACAACTTCTCCAGCATGGGGAGTCGGTGATTTGAAGGCAGGCTTGAGAAATCAAATTCAGGACCCCGCCCTGCCCCAAGCTCCCCCATCCTCGCAGTGCGCTGGAGACCGCAGGTACGTAGGGCGAGGGAAGATCACGGGCCTTGCCAATCCTCGTGGGGCGGAGCATAAAACGGCCCCAAGCCCGCTTCTGGGCTCCCCGCAGCCAGACCCTGCCCTACGCAGTCTGTCACGGACTGCGCTCATGCTCAGCAAGCGGGGCATCGCGCATGCGCGCTCACTCACCTCCGCCCGACTCCCCATCGCCACAGCAGCTTCCCCGCCACACGCAGCAGGCCAGCGGAACCACGCTCATGAGGAGCCAATCGGAAGGTCACATTCCAGCCCCGGTAGCGTCTCAGCGCCTCCCCTAGGGAACGTTACTGGCCGTGCCTGCGCCGAACTTTTCCCTGCGCTCTACTAGTGGCGGCGAGGCTACTTCCGGGTGCAGCGGGCATTTGTGCCCGATAGAACCGTGTCCCTTGAACACTGGTTCCGGACAGGACGGTGCCCCCGGAGCCGTGAGAGCGGGGAAACTAGAGGGTGTAGCTAGGCTGCAATAGGGTGACCAGATGTCCCGATTTTATAGGGACGGTCCTGGTTTTGGGGTCTTTTTCTTACATAGACTCCTATTACCCCCCACCCACTGTCCCGATTTTTCACACTTGCTGTCTGGTCACCCTAGGCTGCAATAAGGAGAAAGAAACGTGATTGGCTAATAAGTTTCCCCTGTTCCAGCTTATGGGTCCCTAGGGTGCCTTACGCGCGTGGTGCTGCTGGGCTCTCTGTCCAGGCCCGTGCTGGGGGTTGGGGGCTGCCCTGCCAACACGTGCAAGGCAGAGTCTGGGCCCCCGCAGCGCTGTGTCAGGGATGCCTTGTCTACCCAGCTCCAACCCCCCGGGCGGCAGCAGGAGGGGCCCAGCATGAAATTGCCAAAACAAAACAAAACCCCATGAGATTTAAACATCGTGGCTGTTGGGTGTAGCCAGGCTGAGGCTGCCCTCTGAAAGTATGAGGGTTAGCAAGCTACATTTCTCCCCTAACCACATACCTCCAGGAGTTTGGGTTTAAGAAAAGCACCATACATTGAAAACAAAACAAAACAAACTAGGAGTCCTTGTGGTACCTTAGAGACTAACCAATTTATTTGGGCATAGGGTGACCAGATGAGTAGTATAAAATATCGGGACGGGGGCGGAGCCAAAAAGGGGGGGGCGGAGCAAAAAAAAGAGTTTTAAAGGGGCCTGGGGCATTAGCAGGCCCCAGCCCCGCGCGCTGCCCTCTCCGTGGAGCCTCCCGCCCCACGGGCATATGCGGGGCATGGTGGGTCTGGGCGGGGGCAGGGAGGAGCGGGCAGGAGCCAGGTGGGCGGCAGGGGCCGAATCCCCGCTGCTGCCAGGGAGCCCCGCGCCTCTCCCGCCCACTCGCGGCTGCGGCTCCTTCCCGGCGGGACGCGCCTCTCGCCGCCCCAGCCACATGCGGCGCGCGTCCCCCACGCCT